TTTGCGTAAACAGAACTTTAGAAACTTCAGCCGAATGAGAGATGCACCCAATTTATCTCATAAATAGAGTGAGCTGGGTCATCCATTGTTCTTAATGGATCGCATTGAAATATATATAGATCGATGTATTTTTTAGAGGGCACACCGGATGCGCGTTAAAGAACATATGGACTTTTCAGAAATTATTCGCGTTTTACGAGTTTTTGGCCGTCAAATGAAATTTCGCAAAATATATATGGATTGAAAGATGAACTTCAGTACTTCCTGGAAACCGCTTAGACGCAATTTAAAATGTATATTTCATAATATTATTTTATTTTAAGATTTTTTCCTATTTATAGAACCCCAAGATTTATCAGAAGGGTCTTGATATAATACGCAAGGCGTATACTTATACACAAAAAGTGATTATTTTTACATATTTTAGAAGAATAACCCCAAATTTTTCTTCTGAAATTTCTTGTACATTATTTCTTCGAACCAAAAACAAATAATTTTCCTCAATATCTTGTTTTGTTGTGGCTGTAATTTACAAACATGTACTACATGATAGTCAATATGGATTTAGGCGTAATCGTAGTACTTGTCGGTTTGACTGACAATGTAAGGAAGACTGTTGGTGGTTGTGGAGTATTATTGTCACTGGACCTTAAGAAGGCTTTTGATAGGATAAGTCACTCCATATTGGTTGATAAATTGCATCGTTTCTCCAATTTTTCTTCGTCAGTATGTAAGCTAATTGTTTCATATTTGTTTGGCAGAAAACAATATGTTAGTTGTAAGAATTGTTTTTCGAGTGCGTTGCCAGGGGTCCGTCCCTGGCCTCCTGCTATTTGTAATATATGTTAGTGATATGTTCAGTTGTTTTATTAGTAGAAGTTGTATGTTATTTGCGTTTGCAGATGATATACAAATATTATTTAAAGGAGAATATGTGTTCATGGATGTGCTGCAGTCATCGATTGATTTAACTGTTAATGTATTAGTTAAGTTGTTGTCTACCAAAAGGTTATGTATTTTGGCAATATGTGAGAAAATTTAATAAATGTTTCCATATATAGTTCCCCTATAGATGTTGTAAGCTCCATGAAGTGCCTTGGATTGTTGCTTGATAGTGGTTTGGTGTTTGATGTGCATGTTAATTCGTTAGTGTCCAAGGTAAACTTTATTTTACGAAATTTGCACTGTTTGGGCGTTGCATTGCCGAATAATATTAGCTGTGGCTTTATACTGCCCAAACTTAGGCTTTTGTTCCATAGAGTAATGCGTTATGTGTTTGTTCGTATGTTAATGAGATTCTTGGTACTTCGTTTGACAATCAGCTGTATGATGTTTTTCTATAAAAAAACCCAGGCCCCTTCCTCAGTAGTAGAACAATTTTCATTCAGTATGTCTGTGAGGAATACTCACAGACATGTAAGGGTTGCTCAGGTGTTCAATAGTTTGCCACAGGTTTTTAAAATATTCAGTGCTTCGTTAAAATGTTTCAAGAAAAACTAACTATTTTTTGTTTATATTTTCTTAAATATTTATATCTGATGTATCCTATGCCTAGTTTCAAATATTTTTATAATTCTTATGTTTTAATTTGAATTTATGAATTTATATCATTATATATGTTGTTAATTTTAGGTCTTTGGAGTAGTTCATGTACTGCTGTTTATGATATGATTAAGTGATATACTGTTTTTGGAGTAGATTAAGCTTTTGGAGTAGTTTACGAAGTTTTTGAAATCGCTCGTGACCCTTTGGGCTAGGTTCTCGTTTATGAAATAAATTGAATTGAAATTTTGATATTATTTGATTTATCGTGGTGTTTAGATTATGTAGATATGAATATAATAATTTTCTCATATTTTGCGAATTTTTTTTTTTTTTGCATATTCATATTTTAAGTTTTTAGTCAATATAATAAACGGCGTAATTTTAATATTTTTTTCTTATGCCCAAAATTAAAACCTCGATAACTTTTGTGTGCATCAACCAAAAATTTGATCGCGAACGGATTGTGTACCAAAAGTCATTGATGTTCTACGAAAACAAAAAAGTCAATTTTTTGAAAATGGAATATTCAAAATTTGGCATATAACAATCTTAGAATCACCTCTTGTATATACACACCTTTGGTCTTATCTTAAGGTTTTTTTACTTATCTAGCTGTCTATGAGGAATTTTACATGTACTGAGCACTAGTTTTTGCACAGTGCAACTAAAACAACACATTAGCTAATTACAACAATTCCCTTTTGTTCTTATTTTACATGTTTTGGCTAAATTGTCTCCTCAATTGTTATGTTCTCAACTCGCTCTCTCTCTCTATTTCTGTATCGACAGTAGTCGATTAAGATTAGTATTACCTATAAATAAGTTGTTACACCATGTCTATGTTATATGTTGTGGCAAAGATTTTTTTGAATTTTTAAAAATGTGAATTTCGAAGATTTGCTTGACGTATTCTAGAAATCCAATAAAATAAAACACAGTCCATATTGTGTTTAAATTTACAATGTAAAGATACGTTTATAAATTATTTGAGTTCGCAAGAAACTAATCATGAAACTCAATTCTTTCCATATAAATGACCTGAACCAGGGAGTGGGATTTCACTTTTTTTCTTTTTGTTTACCAAAACATTTAAAGAGCATCAAAAAAGTAGCATCTAAAAATAAATCGAAATAAGACAATTTGCTTCAACGTTTTACATTGCCGTACCCATAGGTTCTCACAAAATGGTATTAATACTGCATTACCATTGCCCGATGTCTTCCTCCCATATTTACGCCACTGATCAATAAAAGTTTTTTTCTGTTATCTGATGATTAGAATCGATTGATTTGTAAAAATATCAAATACGAAAATAAGAATAGACCAACAACCCGATGCAATGACTCTGCAATGTGAAAGAGTATTTCAAACAAATTGGCGATCTGCATCATTGCAGAACATCCTACTCGCCGCCGATTGCATAAAATTAATTTAATTCAATTTAAATTTGGAAAAAATTAAAAGTGATAATTAAAATAAAATCGCCGACATGTCTTTGAATCGTAATTATCGAAGAAAGTTAATGGAATACAGGAGATCGGTGAGGGAAACGACATCGGTGGCGAGTATGGAATTGACATCTCACCATAACGAACATCAATATCCAACAATTGACGTGCATATTGATGCAAATGGCACGTCGTCATCGAAGGACGCATCCGACACCTTGACTGTACTGGCTAGAATTACATCGAAGTATAAACACAATGGCTCCATATCATCTAAAACTACGCCATATAAATCAATTGGAGATTCTCTGGCATCCAAGACGGAGAGCCTCACTCTGAAGGACTCGGTGAACAATGAATCCAAGGATTATATGTACTCAAGCCCTCTTAAATCAAAAACTACAATCTATAGTGAATTAACAGGATCAAAAAACGAACAACGCAATGGAAATGTGAAAGGATTGTCGTATAATGAGTTACAGTCTCTCAGAAATGACACAAATTCGTCGGACTATAGTGAGTCCTTGATATCGAAACCTGCTGTGACATCAAAGAGTTATCTATCATACAATGAGTCACCTATGGTATCCTTCTCATTAGACAGCAAAAGTTCGTTGGCATCAAAGCATTCGGTAAAAGGATTGAATGCGTCCGATACACTTGCGTTACCGAAAGGGGGTTCGCCATACAGAACTAATTCACGCTCGCGATCTTCCTCTCCGCAACCAAACAAACTGAAGGAAGCCGCAAGTGCCAACAGTATGCTTTACGAACCAGTCGGAAAATATGTAAATTGGAGAAACGATCACACAATTCTGGCTTCCTTGCCATGGTGTTGTATTGGCGACCTAATGGCATTTTGCGACAAATACGAATTCAAAGCGGTAAGCAGCACAGCTAGCAGAACTCATGCCAACATCGTGAGCGAGGTACGTGCCTTATTAACCGGACCAGCTCCGTTTGCCGAGAACAAGCGGTTTCCTTCACACATCCGAAATCCAGAAAATTTGATGCTGTGCCTTGGTCGCAGTCCCAGCATTGAATATCATTTGGGCAGAATACAGAGTTCGTTTCGCAAGCCCCTTGAAACTCTATCTCCGGATAAACAACGTATAGCCAGACAGAACTTCCATTTGGCCATTAGGGAACTACGTTTGGATATATCAGCACGTCTCACTGGTCTCCGTTTATACGACCAAAAAGTGTTCGAGAGAGATTTCCATTTGACATGGGAGGATAATGCAGAATAGACTACTTCATCTATATATAAGTGTGCTTTCTCTCCTATAACAAATTTATATTAAAATAACATTCGTATTTGCGACGAAATAAACGTTTAGTTTGAATACACCTACCACCATACCATGTACTTTAGTTTACAAACAAAGCGAAAATAAACGGTTGATGATTGACAATTCGCACAACGACAACAACTAAAAAATAGAAAAAATAGGATACTAATACTATTAAAAATAACGACATTTTGCTGAAAGAAACCGAATATTGGACTGCAATATTTCTATTGCAATTATTTTCAAAATCAATACAAAATCAATACACTTCATACGTAATATATATTTTTATTTTTATTGACACTACTTCATAACAAATTAGGTAGGTACATCAGTTTGGACAAAAAACGTTCAACGTTTACAATTCTTTACAATCCATTGCCTTTGACACTTGTGTAAATTTGTAAATATAAAATATACGGTGGTTTCATATTGGATTATGCAAAATACATTTACTTATAGCTATTGTGGAACTGCAAAAATCTACGCTTTAAATGCGTATAACGATGAAGCGTTGGCAGACGGTCAGATCGCTTCAAGTAGTCAATGAACTAAATACGTATAGCTTGGTGAAATGCTGTTGTGCACATGAATACATTTTAACGGAGCGTAGGCGTAGGAACGAAGACTTTGGTAACACAGATAAGTTGACACACTTGATATAGTATGGTGTGGTGATAAGCAACACCAGCAATGTGTGTAGCCGAAACACTTGGTAATCTAGAAGAATTTTAATTTCATTTTTGTAGTCTTGGGTACATTGCGAATGGTCAAGGATATGCGTGTTCCTCTCGTTAGACAATCACCCATTTTATAGGTAGTCTCACAGTTTTCATAGTTGCAAATGCGATCGCATAACACATCACTTTCAACTTCGTCAATTGAATGTAAGTAGTCACTGTACAAATCATCTTTCAGTATAAGAAGGCTTCTTGGTTCCAGTATTAACTTAAAAAGGACCTCTCGCTTTCCACTGGAGTTCTCCTCGACTGTACCTTCAGGAGAGGAGTCGTGTGTCTCACGTTTGCTAAACTGAAGAATAGTATGCGAACCACAGGAAATCGTCATTATCAATGGATGAAATAACGGACCATCAGTGTGTGGCATTATTCCTTGACCAGCACGGTATTCATTTACAAGCACGTGATTAGCCTTTTGTGTTTCAAATAATCCTAAGTTGTTAATTTTGTCTACATACATTTGTAGCCACTGTGGAATCTCCTCTGCCAGCATTCCATTGGGATGGGGAACACCGCCATAATTAATCAGGCGACGGTTAAGCAATTGGGTCCACCTAGGTTTGGGTGTTCTTTCGACATGTGAAAGTATACGTTGTTCTTCTTCAGAGGTTATAAAATTTGGTATGTACATTGCGGTAGCGGGACACTGCAAAATGTACAACATAACGAAACATAAAATCACATTTAAAAATATTCACAAATTTTAGAATTACCTTTCGAACAATGAAATCAGAAAAATCCATTTTGATGTCAATTTATTTATAAATACAAATTCCAGGTCACTTGTTTACTGATGTACGATTCTAAATACACATAGCAAGGCAATCTGTGTGCATAGAAATACAAAAATGAAAACATTCGTAGTATTCATTGTGATAAATTATAAAATTATTGTTTCAGAAAACTTTCAATAATGCTCGTTACCATTCCAGGGATAAGACACTGTCGTGTAAAATTATAAATTGTTTATCGTTACTTTACCGGATCACAAGGATAAACGTAGTGTACCTAAAACATGAATTTTTGTCATATTATTTCTTACAATTAATTTGGATATTCTATACGAAATCAGAATGCCTATGTTTAGTTCTATTAACATACTCGTGTACGCAAATGCATCCCATCATAGTGCCACATAAAAAGAAAGTTATAACAACCATGTCCGCGAATGTGTTAACATATTATGGTATAGGGTAAGTGCTCCTAATGTCGGCATGTACCAGTACTCGGCATCAGTTGTATATAACTTCAAATAATTAAAAAATCCTAGCATTTAATATAAAAACTGCCTTAAATAATCCTCAATAATATTGTCATCTATCTCTTTGTGAAATTTTCATCGATCTAAGTTCAATTATTAGGCAGTAATTTAGGTTTTCAATGTGGTTCTTCCACCACTAGCATGTTTCTTAAGGAAAAATTAGTAAGCATGACTCGGAACTATATTAAAATTATATATTATTCACTCATCTTTTTATACTTGTTTAGGACATTCTAAGGAACACTTTATGATTTAAAATTATTAAGAAATATTTGGAATTATATTTTTATGGATGGCGCCCTTAGGAAAAAAATGACTATTTTCCTATATTCGGCAAATGGATGTATAATTTTTGCTCAGAATTGGTTTTAAATTTAAATATTTTCAACCTATAAAGTGAATGTATTAGCCATGCCGAGTATTGGATAACTATTTCCTAAAGTCGGCAGTATAATTTATAATTGTAATACTTTCATGAAATAAATCAATTAATTAAGTTAAAGATACAATTTTTCTTCAATTTCAAGCCGACTATTGAAACATGACATGTCGGCAGTTGGAAACTAGTGCCGACTATTGGCAAAAACACTATTTTTCCTAATTGTAAATTTGTTCAACCTTAAAAAATAATTCAAAATTTGTTACTGCCATCGGGAAGTAAACTAAACTTCGAATCAAATGAACCATAATACAATATAGTGGAAAAAAGGCACCCGGAGTGGCAAAAAATTCAAAATACGTAAATCCTAAAAGTGCCGACGATTGGTACACTTACCCTATTTCAAATATTATATCATTTCCTAGGACCTAATTAATATAACACAAATAATCCGATCAACTATCCAATTATTAATTGACAATGTTATGTAACTTTTGTATTCCTCCTATTACAATTTCAGCGAAGGAAGCGCCTAAAAATATACTGTGGTTACGGAGAATATTAGAAGCATGAACTATGAAATAAATCAATGATATCGAAAAAGGGATTCAATGATTTTCCAAAGATCCCACGAAAATGAATACTTACCTATTTAGATTACTCAAATCAAAAGCTAATAGTAAAAGGTTTTTATTTGTTTAGAAATTTCCATGAAAATAAAAAAAATCAGCGTTCTTTTCTATTTCGCAGACGAAGAATTTACTCAATGGTTGTCAATCAACAAACTAAAGCTAGGGATGCGTAAGTCGATTTTCGACTAATTGATGAAATATCGAATGCAACAAATCGAATAATCGCTACTGTCGACTTTTAAAGCGATATATTATGTATTTCCTTTATGATATCGAAAAAATAGTAAAATCTAGTTGATTCTTGCAGTACGGGATAGACCATTAATTCACGATATGTTTTTTTATTGCTTTTATGTATTTTGACCACTAATGTACAAAATAGTACGATAGCGGTGATGGCCAAACACGTTTTCTCTTTTTCTCTCTTTGCGTCAGTTATTTTTGTGGATGATCTCTCAGTTAAGCTACATTTACACCAGTGTTGGGCAAAATTAAATTGAGAATTCACAATTAAAAACGACTGACGCAAAGAGAAAGAAAGAGAAAATGTGTTTACCCATCGAGCCTCAGTTACGGTAGCGTATATGGGTAAGCATGCCTGATTTACACGATTGAAATCATTTTGAAGTCTTATCAAAATTTTGAAAATGTATTTTGAAGTCCTATTTACACGTTTCAAAAATTTGATCAAAATATTCTTTCAATATAAGTGTTTTGATCAATATAAGTGTTTTGATAAAAGTTTGATCAAAATATTTTGAAGCTAATTTACACTATTGGTAATTTTTTATATTGAAAATATTGACTTTGAACAGCTGTTTTGATTATTTTGACACATAGTTTAGTATTAATAACTATGAACGACGACACGGTCATCAGCATTTTTAATATTGGAGGAAGAAGTAGCTGATAACAATAAAAACAAGTGAAAAAGCGTTAAGTTCGGTCGAACCAACTTTTGGATACCCTCCACCATAGATATACTGACAGGTACTTGAAATAAACATATAGGGGACAAACCAAAAAATTTACCTATACCGACATTTCTACAAACCGATTATGGTTCTAAATATTGGTCCTAGACGCCATATATATATATATATATATATATAAGGTTAATTAACGAACCTTATGTTCTTGTTTTTTTTTTTCGTATCTTCCGCAGATGAAATGATTATAACAGAGTCTTAGAACCAAACCCAAATACGGAACAAAAAGGGGGCGAATATTAAAAATTTTTGTTAGGGAGATTTGTTACCATATACGACTATAAAATACCAAATTGTATTCGGTTTAAAAACGCGCTCAAGAACCCCAAAGTACCAAAAATGGGAGGGGGTACTGTTATATGGGAGCTATGCCTAAACGTGGACCGATATATTCCATCTTCGAACTTGACCTGCCTGCAGACAAACCTATGCAAAATTTCAGCACCCAATCTCAATTCCTTCAGAAAATAGCGTGATTACAACAGACGGAACTAGTCACCCCATTAATAGAACGCCTGACAATAACATTGAGATTTTTAGCGACTGGGGTCTGCAAGTCTGACGTTCTCTTACCATCTCATATTAATTTATTAAATATAAAAAACAACTATTTATTAGTGGGGAATGTATGGTATTGTTGCCGAGGGGTATGGCAGGGAAGACTATAGTTTCAGATCACGCCACTGATCCTCATCAGTTCCCTTAGTTTTTTGTCGGGATATTCTCCCCAGAAGCTATTGCTTCTATACAAAAAACCTTTCAAACCCAAATGTCTCTTGTAACAAAGCGAAGTACTTAGCTGACCAACGACATAAACTGCATGAGAATTTCGCTGGTGCCTCACTTCGAGTTTAACAAGGCATTTACAAACAGTACCACACCTTTCCCAAATGGTTTCCCAAATAAACCGCCAACACTACTAAATTTATTAATTATAATTTAATTCGTAAGTGATTTAATTCCATTGTCACTTCCCGCAACAAAAATGTATAAATAAAAACATATATGTATTGATTAAAAGAATGAACATGCTCTCAAAATATTTCTAGTCATCAATATTGCCAGATGCGACTTTTATGTCTATTTATACGGCATCAATAAAATCTTCAAAAGATTTGTTCAATAAATTTTTAAGAAATTTAGCTGTTTACACGAGTTTGAAGCATTTTGAAGACAAATTTTGTAAATGAAGCTTTACGCTCTTATGCACTTACTCTTAAATTAGTTCTGTTCAACACTGATTTTGACCTAATGGAGATGAATTCTTATAGGAATGATGAAAATATTAACAGAAATTATGAAAACAGTGGAATGTGTATATATACACTGGTCAGAAAAAGTATCCGTCGATATTCAACTTAAAATTTAAAACTCAATAAATATATGGGGTTTTAAGTCTTACATGTTCAATGTTTTCAACAGCGATTGTATACAGGAGCTAAAATAATTCGCTTCTCAGCTTCAGTTAGCTTAGTATGTGGTTTGGCAATTTCACGCAAATAATTGCCTTCTTTGCGTAATTTTAGGACAATTCCAATAAATTACCGTTGACAAATCAATTTAATATAAATTAATAAATTATTGTGTACGAATACATTTTCTGGTACCAAATACATGACAAAATAAAAAAATATGTGGAAACACAGAGCGTGGAAAACATATCGAAAATAAAAAACTATGCGACAAATCGATGGTATTAAATTAGCATCCAAACTTTTGTGTGTGTTGTTTTTATAAGCACTTGAAAATTAAATATTGAAGTGTACGAATACTTATTCTGACAAGTGTACGTATAAAATTAACAGCTGACTGTGAAAACGATACAGGGTGGCCCAAAAAAGACTGAAGGATTAAAAATGGTTATATCTTTTTTGTTTGTTTTTTGTCTTTTGCTGGTTATTTACTGTTTTTGGAGATAAATCATGGCTACATATGATGTGCAGAAACGCGTCAAAATCATTGAATTTTGTATTCTTCTGGAATGTCAATTATTACAACTCAACTAAAATATCGTCGTCATTTTAATGTCCGAACAGCACGCAGTCCCAACATGATTAGGAACTTAGTCTCCCGTTTTGAGGAACATGGCAGAGTGTTAGATCTTCCAGGAACAGGAAGAGACCGATCTGTGCGCAACGAAGCAGTTGTGGGGGCTGTACGACAGAGTGTAAACGAAGATCCATCTGTCTCTACTCGTCGTCGTTGTACTCAATTGCGAATCTCCAGAACATCCCTGCAAAGCATTTTGAAGCGGGATCTTAATATGTTTCCGTATAAAATTCAAATGGCACAGCAATTGCTCCCCCATGACCATCAGACACGCCTGCAATATGCTATTCGAATAATTTCCAGAAATTGAGATTTTGTTTGGCCTCCACGTTCACCAGATTTGACCCCTCCAGA